AAAGTACTTAACATAATTTGTTTTAATACCAAATTTTTTGAAAAAACCTCACGATGTACAACATTTTTGGTATAGTTGCATTGTCATCTAGAATAAAGATTTTTAATCTTGTCTTTGTGTTCACTCATGAAACAACATAAAACTGACCATGAGTGAACACCGACTTGGTTAAAAATAATCTAACAAATAACAATACTTGACCTTAACTTTTGTTGATAGTCATTGCAAAACATAAGACCATTTGGAATTGTCTTCTCTGTAATTTCAGAGGTAGTCATAGATCGGATGGTACCAAATTCATCCAGGGTATGTAAACTTTTTCCCCGACTCGATTTCCCGAAACCACAATAGCGCCGATAACGTTCTCCCTCTCCCTCCCCTTTTAAAAAATAACTTTTCATATTCTCCATTTAGGACAAATTCATTTACTATTTTTACAACCTCGAGCATGAGTGCCAATAGTGCTATGTCCTCAAATAAAAAATAACTTTTCATATTCTCCATTAGGTTCAGATAAGTGAAATCCACTATACTTTTGAGAAGATAACTTGTGTCTAGAATCAAGAATTCGAGCGTAATTTCAGCTTCACTTGTTCCATTAATCACTTGTTCAAGCTTTCCATCTCCAAGATTGATTATCTAATAAAAAAAGCTTGTGTGCTTTTATCTGTGCAAGAGGACGTATATGAATGCAATCTCATACTCTTCGTTATCGTATAAACTTTACAATTGGATCACACTTCTGATGAATTGATGGTAGCACCTACAATTTCCTCTCGAAACTCCGGATAAAATAGCAAGCTTTAACATTACCTCCAATTACTTCACAAAATATCCGTCCTTTTTTTAAATTCTTCTTCAAATGATCGAATTTCATTTTAAAGAGTATAGATTCAAAATCAAGTCCATCTTTGATTAGCTGCACTCACATTTTCTTATTGTCATATATCTTACAATCTTTGTCCATTAGGGATTGCATATCATAGTAATGAACAAGCTAAAAAATCAAGTCCTTTACAAATGGCTATAACATCTTGATAGTTGTTAAACATATATCTCATTCTACACGTGACATTTCCCATTACTTTATAAATTATATAATAAATATGTACAAAAAATTTAATTAGTTACAAAAAATCATACAATTATGTTCATTTCCGCAAAAGTTTTCCTCTCTTATTTAAAATTTAATATATACTATCTCTATCCTTAAAAGATTGCCACAGTTTGATTTCTTGGATCAAACTATTGCACCCTTTGACCATAAATTAAATATAGTTTAAATTAATTAAATATTATAAAATTTTGATAATTGAAAAATATATTTTAAAATAAACTAAATTTTACTAAATTTACATTATAACTAAATATTTTTTTTCCCATAATTTGCGGTCAAATGGTGCCACAATTTGACCAAAAAAGTCAAACTGTGGTAATCTTTTAGCGATGGATGAAGTAATTTTATTTTTGAAATAATAAAGTAATTATGTATAATAAGGGCTTAAAACATGAAAGTTCCACTCAATGCTCTTGTTGGCATGGATGATGAGGTGTTAAAAAATTGTTTAGTCAGCATGCCAAATGTCGTAATTCTAGAAGTCTAACTCTCAAATTTTATATATAAAGATAAAGATATATAAAGGATAAATGATATGCACATACATACTTTCTCAAGCTATTCAAGCACACAAAGACTTATCAGTCATATTGAGGATCGAGCATGTGACATCTCATCCGGAAGAGCCAAATTGATGTCGTTGCACCACGAGATTTTTGGCAACAGTTAGATATTCATTTTCTAAAAACAAAAAAAGAAACTTTATTTTAGGGCATCCATCGATGCAGTGGCGGATCCAGAAAATGAAATGACATGGGGCAAGAATAAGGCGGGGCTTGGGAGCAACACTCGATTTTTTTGTGTGAAAGTTAATGTAAAATGCCATAAATACAGTTTGATGGTGTAAATTATCAACTGATATATCATTTTTAGCCGGACAAAAACAATAAACTAGTCTAAAAAATACACCAAAATATAAAAACAGGAATTTTGACGTGGAAACCCAAATCGGGAGAAAAGCTCGGGTCTTTTTTGGCAGTACCTTGCCAACGGGGAATTTTTATTTATAACAGGGGTGTGTACACGGTACATAAAATGGGCTCGAAAGCCATAAATGGAAGCTTGAAAGCTTATTGAAGAACAAAAATTTTAAATATCTAGAGAGAGAGAGAGATCGAGATGTGCAGGAGGAAGTGAGTGAATTGGCCTCCCATTTAATGAAGGAGAGCCCTCCTTTTATTGGAGTAGCAGAAGCATCTACGGGAGAATATTCTCTTATTCTTCTATTTTATTAAATATGCCCCATTTGGTTGTTCTTTTTAAATAATTGGAAAATGTGGGTCGAACCACGTGTTATTTCCCATCACAGTTAAATTGCATTTCAATATTATGAATTGCTACGCATAATTTATAACCTACTAAATAAATAATGTTAAATTTAGATATTATACATGACTAGACTACCAAAAATAATTTTCAATTAAAGATTTAAAATATTTTCATCCTTCTTTTTTATGTTGTAAGTGAGGATAATGAATGGGGGCATTTCATTTTTTTAGTGGGGGCATAAATGATATTTTTAAGAAATTTGGTTATTTATTTATAAAAAAATTAAAAGTCATTGGGGGCAAGTGCCCCCATTAATCACCAAGTAGATCCGCCCATGCATCGATGGAAGGATTTTGTAAACCACACTTTGAAACGAAAAGAGTATTAAATTTGTTTCAAGATGAGAGATAGACAATGATAAGGAGTATTAATTGATTACTCCGCAATTATTACGAGAACAAAGATTGATACGACGTTTCATCAGACATAATAAGCTGCGGATCAATGGTTTCCATCTCCCACTGTAGAACTTCCCATTGTATTCTTCCCCATAACTTTCTGGCCATTTTGAATGGCCTTATTACTGCGCCAGATCTCCTTGAGCTGCTAATAATCTTCTTTAACGCCAACCAAACAGCACCCAAAACCAACTCCCAAAATGTAACCCAGCATTTAACGCAGAGTGCAATCCATTTCGCGTATCTACTAAATCTCACCATACGCACTTTCACTTTATTTGCCGATATGTGGTTACTTTTGATTATTTGTTTGTATGGTAGATTGTGTTTTCAACCTTACGGTTTGCCAATAAATAGTTAATATTTGTGCATGCGATCGTGGTTTTCGCTGTTTAATTGCGCTTTGGAAGGAAAGAAAGGTCATGTGAAAGGAATGTCTCGCTTAGGTGTATTATTCTCTCCTTGCCCAGTGTCATAGAAACCCCTAGTATATAGTATCTTCAATTCAACTTAATTACATTGTAGAATATTATATGTTATTTTATCTCTAAACTTTTCATTGCATTTTTAGTTTGTTCATCAAACAACGTCAACTTAGGCATATCTTCCGTAGTTCCGTTGTTCGTTGCCTCGGTGGAATTGGTTTTATTCACTCTTTTAATTTTAATGGTTTAATAAAGTAATAAATGTTAGAACGCACAGACTGCTTTTTTTTTTTTAATTCTTACCATTTTTAATTTATTTCCTCCTTTAATTTTAATAATGTAATAATATTGCTGTATCATGTATCTTATTTATAACAGTTTTTTGTATACAATAATAATGCACGGATTGCTTCTTATTTCTTTTTTTTAATTCTTATCATTTTTTAGTTATTTCCCCTTTAATTTTAATAATGTAATAATATTTCACTAAATTATTTCCTCCTTTTTAATTTATTTCATTCTTTAATATTAATAATGTAATAACGCACATATTAGTTTTTTTCCATTTTTTTAATTATTTCCATTTTTATTTATTCCCTCCTCTAGTTTTAATAGTGTAATAATCTTGCATTGAATTATTTCCGCTTTTTTATTGATTTTCTCCTTTAAGTTTTCATAATGTAATAATATTGCATTAACTTCTTACCATTTTCTTAAAATCTGTAGATCAAGAATAATGTGCTACGGAGTATAATATATCAACCGTAAATTAAGATTTGATCAAAGATGGACGGCTCACAAACTTTTGTGATTGGGCGGGAAATTGGCCTGACATTACTTCCCCTGCGTTTAAGAATAAGATTGATGAGTGAAAGATGTTATAAATAATGCATACAATATACAAAAAATGGTTTACCCTTAAACATGGTACTTGAATTACTAACACTACTTATACAATTCTTATATCCCATGATTTTCTTAACCTTGGAAGTCAAGATTATATTATGACCTGATTGGGAGTACAAACTATCAATTTTATCAACGGTTGGAGGCAGGTGATACATGGGCGCGGGCAGGGTTGGAGGTAAAAATCATTAGTTTTATCAACGGAAAACCGTAGCTATTAAATATGTAAAGTATATATCACATATTTAATATTATTGTTATATTTGGTAGATTCCTTGATTGTATAGGATTTGTATTTAATATTGTTTCCTTTCCAATATACCTCCTACATGTATATAAGGGGAGGTGATTTACTTGTAATTATCATCGAATAATACAATTCTTCATGGTATCGGAGCCAACCCTAGGCTAATCCTGATACGTCTTCTTTGCCGGCTCTGTCTCACCCAGCGCCGATCTCCCTCTCTCCGTCTTCCTATCTTTCTCGCCGGCCAGTCTCCTCGGCAACCAGCAGCTCCCCCCATCTTTCCCTATGGCAGCCAAAGAAGCCGAAAAATCAACCCCTCCCTCTACCCCTCATCTTGCCTTCACCACCGTTTCAAACGTCAAACTCTAAGTTCCCATAACCCTCAGTTTCTCAGAACCAAATTACAAAAAATGGAGTCGTCTCTTTCTCCTATTGGTTCGGTGTTTCAATCTCGAAGGTTTTCTCACCGGTGCCACAACCTCCACCGGCAAAGATGATGTTGATTGGTTGCAACTTGATGCTCTCATTCAGGGATGGATTCTATCTACCGTTAATGATGAAGTTTCGGATCTGATTATCTCCTCCACCACCACTGCCGCGGATCTTTGGAAAGCCATTCATAATTTGTTTCACGATAATAAAGCCGCTTGAGCCATGCAATTGGAACAACGCTTCTACAACATCGTCAAGGGCGCATCCACTATCGCTACTTATTGTCAAACCTTGCGGAATATTGCCGACTGGTTAGATGACGTGGATGCCCCGGTGACGAAAAATCAGCTCGTCTTGCAAACCCTACGTGGCCTTCCCGAGGATCTTGGTTCACAGGCATCGTTTCTGCAATTCCAAAAACCCTGCCGACCTTCATGGAAACTCGATCTGCACTCCTCCTCCTTGAAGGACAACGCCGCCCACAACCAGCTTCTGGCGACGAGGGAACTGCCCTGGCCACCCTCGGCCACGGTGGCTTCCGGCAGCAGGGTCGCGGTGGTGTGCCTGCAGGCGGCGGGCAGCAAGGCGGCAGTGGCAGTGGCAGTGGACAGCTCTATGGCGGACAGCATCATGGCGGACAATCTCAAGGCAACGGCGGACGTGGTGGACGACCGAACCGCGGTCGCGGTCGAGGTCGTAACTCTGGATTCAACTCCCGGACTACTCCAACGAACTTTGGACCCTGGCAAACCCCTTACCAAAACCCCAGCCCAGGCCTACTGGGCCCACGCCCCACCACCCATCCCTTCCTTGCCCAGGCCCACTTCACCTCCCCCACCTACCCCTATCAGCCCACCCCTTTACCCAACTCCTACCCACAGCCCCCCATATACCCAAATTCACAAAACCCAACTCAACCCTACCCCTACACCTACGGGTCCCCCTCGGCCCAACCCCAATCCCTCACCCCCACAGCCTTAGCCCACCATTTTGAGACAATGACCCTCCGTGAACCCACCTGGCTCATGGACACTAGCGCCACTCATCACATCGCTTCAGACCCAGGTACTATTTCTCATGTTTATTCACAAAGCTTAAATTCTCCACATTTTATCACTGTTGGTAATGGATCAAAAGCAAGCACNGCCTTAGCCCACCATTTTGATACAATGACCCTCCGTGAACCCACCTGGCTCATGGACACTAGCGCCACTCATCACATCGCTTCAGACCCAGGTACTATTTCTCATGTTTATTCACAAAGCTTAAATTCTCCACATTTTATCACTGTTGGTAATGGATCAAAAGCAAGCACTACGGCTATTGGTAAACACACCTTCCCCACCTCCCCACCCCTTTCCCTTAACAATGTCCTTGTTTCCCCCCATATCATTCATAATCTTATTTCCGTTCGTCAGTTCACTCGTGACAATAACTGTACCGTAGAATTCGACTCTCACGGTTTTTTTGTGAAGGATTCTCGGACGGGAACCGTGATTCAACGTTGCAATAATGAAGGCCCTCTCTATCCTCTGCGCACCCAAGACTCCACCGCTCAAGCCCACGTTGCTTCTGTCTCAGCTCAAACGTGGCATCAACGCCTTGGTCACCCCAGTCTTGCAGTTCTAGATAGTGTTCCTTATTTATCTTCTTTTTCCTTTAATAAACAACTTCAGCATAATTTGTGTCATGCTTGTCAGTTAGGGAAACATGTTCGTCTTCCTTTTACTTCCTCCGCTAGACTTTCCTATTTTCCCTTTCAATTAATGCATACTGATTTATGGCAATCACCTGTTCCTAGTATAACTGGTTTTAAATTTTATATGCTTCTACTAGATGATTACTCTCATTACTTATGGGTTTTTCCTCTTCGACATAAGTCTGATGCTTTTTCTCACTTAACTAATTTTGTTGCTTATGTAAAGAACCAATTTAACACAACCATCAAATCTGTTCAATGTGACAACGGAACTGAATATAGAAACACGCCCCTCCAGAATATGTTTAACTCTCTAGGAATTCTCTTCCGCTTCTCTTGTCCCCACACTAGCCAACAAAACGGCCGGGCGGAACGTACAATACGCACTGTTAACAACACCGTCCGCACTCTGTTATTTCAAGCCCAACTTCCCCCTGAATACTGGGTTGAAGCCCTCCACATGGCGTGCCATCTCTTCAATCTTCTTCCCACCACCACACTCCAACAACGCACTCCTCATGAAGTCCTCTTCCAAACACCACCCACTTACTCCCACCTACGTGTCTTTGGTTGCCTTTGCTATCCCAACACCTCTGCGACCGCCCCTCACAAACTCTCCCCGCGTTCGGCCCGGTGTATCTTTCTTGGTTACCCATCCAACCAACGGGGTTTCCGATGTCTTGACCTCACCACTAATAAAATAATTATCTCCCGCCATGTTGTCTTTGATGAACTCACCTTTCCCTTCAACCACTCCCCCTCCCCGTCCGAATTTCAATTTCTGGACACTAC